GCGTCGAGTGCAGACCACACATCACAAGTGACGACGGCCAAGAAAAAAAGGCTTTTCCTTTTCTTTTTCTTGGCCGTCGTCACTTGTGGTGTGTGGTCTGCACTCGACGCTCTTCTCGTTTTCCGAAACAGAGGGTATGCAGGTCAACGAGGCGCGCGTTGCGGAGAGCAGCGCCGCCTCTACTCATGGTTGCGCAGAAAGTGGGACCATCTGGGGCCGGAATAGTGGCATTAGGAAGGGTGGGCGATAAGTTGCTTCTGAAATGCTTTTTGAAGGAACCGATTCCGATTGAGAGAGCGCATCGGGGAAGCATATGCCATACGAAGCAGTTACTTGGCTGCCAAGGAAGCGAGGATGTGGCGCTTCCACGACGAAAGGTGCGCTGGTTGCTGAGCAAATCGCCCCCAAAGCGATCCGCCCACTAGTTTACTTGGTGATTTGGACGAGCTGTGTTGCCAGCAGCGGCACAACTGAGCAGATTGACCGCGGCATGGTTCCATCGAATGCCTTGCGGTAAACTCGTCCATATGTCTGCCGTCTCAGCCTCTGCCTGTCCTTGAGCAAAAATTAAAGGCCAAGCAAGGAGGTCCCGTTTGTTTTCTTGACAAATTTCTCTGCCTTTGCCATTGGCGTATCAATCAGCACACCACATCGTCCCTGAACTCTTCCAAAGTCTACCATATTAGTGAAGACCTAAAGTTAGTTGCAGTCGTTGACATCTACTTCAAAGGCTCAAGCGGCAACCGAAGTCACTCGTTTTTGAACGAGAATTACTGTAGTGCACATCACAAGATTGACCGATGTTAAAGGCATGCCCCATTGGTGTGGCTCTTGTACACGAATGCGAATGTATTGGTGCGAAGTGGGCCGGCAGTAAAGAAAAAAGGAAAAGAATCCGTCAAAAACGCTTAGGTTAAGGGCTCACTCACCTTCCTAATCGGCTGTGCTAAGGGAATGAGAGACTAAGCGCGGAGAGGAGAGTATGAGGCGAGAGAGCGCTACAGATGAGAGAGCGCCAGACAACAGCCTGATAAGAGAAAAAAGTCTGCAGCTTACTTTGCAAGGCCCAAGCGCTCTTGTCGGTTGGTTTCCGTGCACGGGAACGCCACATTTGTGATTGTCCTCTAGGGTCTATACTACAGACCGAAGAGAAGCGTTCACACGACCTCTGCCTGGGTTGTGCCTTTGAATTTTTTCGTAGTTTTGATTCGATCCATTAAAATTGGAGGCGTTTCAGGTATAATCGAGAGCAAGGAAATATTTTCAACACTTATCAAGCTTATCTTCGGAACGCATTGGACTGCTTAGAGTGTGACATGCAGTTGGCTAGACGAGAAGGATGGCACTTTGGTTTGAAGCTAGTTAGAGGCGCTTATATAGAACAGGTCAGTACTTTGTTCGATTCGCAAGGAAAGAGACTCGCAAAGTCGTAGGGCAATTCCAAGAAAAATCAAGAGCATGGCTTGATGATTAAGTTTTGTCCGTGTTCCTTTAGAATAACGTTATGAGCTTACATCATGGAAAATTCTTGCTTAGAGTAGTGCAAAGACAGTCTACGCCAAAGACGGGCAAATGGATATCTGCTGAACGTGCTTTAGGTGTAGCTCACCTACGCCTGGAGAGGGCTCAGAGGTTATCGATACGACATCCGCATCATAATGACTCACTCACACCCCATGCGCGAAATTTACCTTCAGGAAAAACTTTTCAGTGCTGGTGAAGGCGCGTTTTTGTACTGTAGATTCATTTTTCAGGAACGCAAACGAGCTGCTACTATTGGTTACCCCGATCCGATAAACCCGGACATAGAGGTGAGAAGAACTTCACGCACAAATTATTTATACAGTGGTTCCCATGGCGGAACATTTCGCATGTGACCATTAGTAGAACTTGTGGCATCAGATAGCATCAAATGCTCCAAAAGCACACATGATGTGATTTCGTCGACATTTGTGGCCTGCTTTGAAACACTGCATGAGTGTAGGATATTACCTGCGAGGCCTAAACTGTTCAGACGTTTGCCAACAAAGGGATTCTAATCATTTCTACTGGAAAACAGCGAGTGAATTATCCTAATCATACTGAGTCCTCTTGACTTTTTTGTGGAAGGAATCGAGATGGTACATCTGGAGTAGCTCTACAACAATTATTAAATGCAATGCTTATGATGGCTGGGCGGAGCGGTGTTGATGACGTCATTGCACACTTGGCGAATCAGAGCTCTCAGAGCGCTAACGACTGTAATAGGTGTTCACGCTCATAACGATGTCATCAATACTGATCTGTCCTCATGCTATCGTGTTCGCTGACTATGAAGAGGCCCAATTTTGAGCTTTTGGTACCACGTGTGTTTTTCTTGTAGCTAGAACTAGTGCTTCTTCTCTTCCTAGGAATCACGTACGCGCTTTGAATGCCCAATCAGCTCGAAGCATCTCTTTCAAG